CAGAAGAATTGCTTGACTCAGGAGGCAGAGGTTGCAGTGAGCTGAGATTGCACCACTGCACTCCAGCCTGGGCCAACAGAGTGAGACTCCATCTTGAAAAAAAAAAATAATAGTAATAATAAGCCGGGCGTGGTGGTTCATACCTGTAATCCCAGCACTTTGGGACGCCAAGGTGGGCAGATCACTTGAGGTCATGAGTTCGAGACCAGCCTGGCCACCATGGCGAAACCCTGTCTCTACCCAAAATACAAAAATTAGCCAGGTATGATGGGATGTGCCTGTAATCTCAGCTATGCGTGCGGCTGAGGCACAAGAATCACTTGTACCCAGGAGGCAGATGTTGCAGTGAGCAGAGATTGCACAACTGCATTCCAGCCTGGGTGACAGAGAGACAACCTGTCCAAAAAGATAAATGTTTGTCCTTGAAATTATTACTTTAGCAAAGAAGACTTATAAAACCTTCAAATGACACCTGTAATTATAATTGAGAATATGTTGTCCCAAAAATTATGTTGCAAATTACATCTCTGAAACTCTAAGTGCTGTAAATAAGGATTTTGAACTATTGGCCTCAAGCGATCCTCCTGTTTTGGCCTCCCAAAGTGCTGGGATTACAGGCATAAGCCACCATGTCGGCCGTGGATTTCAGTCCCAACCTTGCCCCTCTGAGGCAGTGTAATCACAGGAAGTTGCTTCACCTTGTTGTGTTTCAGTTTCCTCAAATGCAAACGAGGACAACAAAAGGCAGTTTTGTGTCACCTCAGACATGGTCCTAAATAGGCTCATTGGGATGGTTCCCATTTTTTAATATCAGAGCATCGATCTCTAAAGTTCTGCCCCTAGGTTAGGGTGGGGGGTGTCAGAGCTGCCCTGCCTGTCAGGCTTTGTTCTCCAGCTGCCACTAAGAGAACACTGGAAATAGGAACACTGAGACCAGTAGCCCCATACTCAAGGTGAAGTTCGTGCACCTCTCTTCTGTCTCCCTCTTGCTCTTCCTCCCTCTGCGTTGACTCCATCTCTTGCTCCTCTGTATCCATCTCACCATCTCAATCTTGTTCTCTCTCTGTTCCTGTTTTTCTTTTTTTCCTCTTATCTGTGTCTTTCTCCTTCTCTTTTTTTTTTTTTTTTTTTTTTTTTTTTTTTTTTTTTTTATGGAGTCTCGCTCTGGCTCTCAGCCTGGAGTGCAGTAACGCAATCTCGGCTCACTGCAACCTCTACCTGCTGGGTTCAAGCAATTCTCCTGTCTCAGCCTCCCTAGTAGCTGGGACTACAGGTGCCCGCCAGCATGCCCGGCTAATTTTTTTATTTTTTAGTAGAGATGGGGTTTCACCTTGTTTGGTTAGGCTGGTCTGGAATTCCTGACCTCTGGTGATCCACCTGCCTTGGCCTCCCAAAATGTTGGGATTACTGGCGTGAGCCACCGAGCCCAGCCTCTTGGTATCTTTCTCTGCATCTCTGTCTCTCCTTTGATCTCTCAGTAAACTCTGGCTTCTCTTTCTATCTATGTGTTTCTCCCTATTCTTCTTCTGTCCCTCTGATTCCCCCATGTCTGTCTCTTTCTCCCTGATCTGTCAGGGTCCCTACCTGAGGAAGTGAGTTAAGTGATCCCACACCTGTCAGGGCTGGACCCCCTTGCTCTTCCCTGATCCCACCCACCTCCTTAACCCCCCTAGCCCACCGACTATTTCCCTTCTCCCCCGTGCAGACAGGTAGGTGGCAAACTCAAGGGCCACCGGGATCACACTGTGAAAGCACCAGCCAAGGAGACCAAAGCAGAAAAATTGGGGAGGGGAGCTGAAAGATCAAGACAGATAGAAGTAGAGACTAAGGGCTAAGGCATGGAGGACGCGGGAAGAAACAGGAGGAGGAACGTGAGACAGAGCCGCTGAAGTCCTTGCTGGAAGCAGATGGGATTAAATTAGAGACTAGACTGGGAGAGTGCCAGAGAGAGACACAAGGAGGATGCAGGTGAGGCATCTGTCGGCCTCCCTGAGGCCACGCAGCTAGGGTGTAGGTGGGCGGCAGCCGGAGGAGGCCTGGCCTGAAGCCAACTCACAGCTCTACTGGCTCCTTGCTTTGTCTCCCGCGTTTGCCTGCATCTGACGCGGTATTCCCCTCTACCTGCCTGCGTTTCTGACCCTCATGCAGCTGCTTCTATTTCTTAATGTCTCTCCCCTCCTCTTTGTTTCTGTCTCATTGACCTCTTGCATGTCTCTGTCTGCCTCCATCTCTTTCCACCTGTCTGTCTCTACCTCCCTACATGCATGTCTGTTTCTATTTCTCTCTTTTTTTTTTTTTTTTTTTGAGACGGAGTTTCGCTCTTGTTACCCAGGCTGGAGTGCAATGGCGCGATCTCGGCTCACCGCAACCTCCGCCTCCTGGGTTCAGGCAATTCTCCTGCCTCAGCCTCCTGAGTAGCTGGGATTACAGGCACGTGCCACCATGCCCAGCTAATTTTTTTGTATTTTTAGTAGAGACGGGGTTTCACCATGTTGACCAGGATGGTCTCGATCTCTCAACCTCGTGATCCACCCGCCTCAGCCTCCCAAAGTGCTGGGATTACAGGCTTGAGCCACCGCGCCCGGCTCTATTTCTCTCTTAATCTTTCCATCTCCCGCCTTCCCTTGGTCTCTGTAGTCTCTTCTCGTGGAAACGAGGGTCTCACGCTGCATTCCCTTCTTTTTTTTTTTTTTTTTTTTTGAGACGGGGTTTCGCTCTTGTTACCCAGGCTGGAGTGCAATGGCACGATCTCGGCTCACCACAACCTCCGCCTCCTGGGTTCAGGCAATTCTCCTGCCTCAGCCTCCCTAGTAGCTGGGACTACAGGCGTGCGCCACCATGCCCAGCTAATTTTTGTATTTTTAGTAGAGACGGGGTTTCACCGTGTTGACCAGGATGGTCTCGATCTCTTGACCCGCCTCGGCCTCCCAAAGTGCTGGGATTACAGGCTTGAGCCACCGCGCCCGGCCTGCATTCCCTTCTTTTAGGTACAGAAGCCGCCGCCCCAGGGCCTAGGTCGCTCAGAGGGTGGGGCCTCAGGACGACTCAGGGCGACCTAGCTCCAGATCGTTTATGCCTGGCCTCCACGGAGTCCCGCCTCCACCGGCACCGTCCCCAGTCGTCCTACGACTCTCACAAAAGGCCCCGAACCTCGCCGCGAGCTGTCAAGCTACCCATGGCCGAGGGCGCGCAGAAGCACCACTCCTAGGCCACGCGGATGGGCCCGGTCGCCCCCGCCCTGGAGACAGCGCAACTAGCCCCACGCACGGGAGAGGGGCGGGGCCTGGCAGTGGGAGGAGGTGGGTCCAGCGGCTGTCGAGGGCGGGAGTCTGCCGGTCTTGGGGAGCATGGAGGGGCGCAGCCTTGGAGGGACCCTGGGGAGACCGCAGGGTCGGGGCCTCGGAGGAGCCGCGTGGATGTAGGAAGGAGGTGGAGCCCGCCGCGGCCTCAGGGGGCGGTGCTGAGCGATAGGACCAAGACCGGGCCAAGGGGCAGGGCGGGAGACCCCGGGCGCGTGGAGTCCCCAGTGGCCCCAGGACTCGCGGAAAGGAAGGGCCTCTGGAGCTACTGGGGCGACGCTAGATCGACGCAGGTGGAGGCCTGCAGGGGGCAAGGCCGGCCGGAGGATCCAGAAGGGGCGGGACTAAAGGAGGTATTGGCCCTGAGGCACAAGGAACACCCTGGGTCTGACTGGCGCTTCTGTCTCAAAGATGCATGCCTGGTGCTGCCGCCACAGTGCTGCGGAGCTGCGCACCGCCCGGCACTGCGTCGCTCAAACAAGTGTCTCAGCTGTCATCGCTGAAGACTCTGCATCCCCAAGGACCAGTTTTGTAATGAAGAAAGGGTGTTTCAACCGCCTTGCAATGACTTGCAAGAAAGGGACGGTTTTCATGTCTCTTGAGGTCATTCCCAACTAGAGCAGTTTGTGCAGAGGAAACTGGTGACTCCTCAGGAAGCTTTTGCGCCTCCCTGTGGCATCTGCATCCCAGTGAAGACAATGTTTGCCCCACCCATGTAGAGGTTTGTGCAGAAGTTACAGCTTTGGCGGGGGGAGCCCATGTCCACTCAGAAAAATGTTCTAGCTCCCTCATCCCAAAATGAAAACTCATTTCTGGTTATTTTGTGGTTACCCTTTAAAAACACTTGACCTGGTCAAGCTGGTCTCCTGGCCCCCACCCCCACGCCTGTAATCCCAACACTTTGGGAGGCTGAGGTGGGCAGATCACCTGAGGTCAGGAGTTCGAGACCAGCCTGGCCTACATAGTGAAACCCTGTCTCTACTAAAAATACAAAAATTTAGCTGGGTTTGGTGGTGTATGCCTGTAATCCCAGCTACTTGGGATGCTGAGACAGGAGAATTACTTGAACCCAGGAGGTGGAAGTTGCAGTGAGCCGAGACCTCATGCCACTGCTAGGATAGATCCTGGGCAACAGAGGACATCTCAAAACAACAACAACAAAACAAAGACCAGGCCACCTTGAGGGAGCTGGTCTCCTGGCCCCTCCTTCCATCCCAGATCCACCCTGAGGCCACACGGAGGGAGGGGAATCACCTTTACAAATGCTGTGCTGAGTGTCCAGAAAGAAAGGACTCCGGTGAGGTCACACTTCCCAGCCTCGGGGATGGGGGCTTGTGGAGCAGGGGTCAGAGGTACTGGGGTGTGTGTGTGGGGACGGGGTCAGGGATGCAACATCCAGAACCACCCCCACCCCCAGCGATACTGGTGTTCACTCCCTTCTTTCCCAGGCTTGTTCCTCTGACAGGTCAGACCCATCACCTGGCCCCAGACAACCTCATCATGTCCCTAATTCACATCTTCAATCTCCCTTCCTGCTCATTCATCCCATAGACATTTACTAGAGCCCACTTGCTGTGGGTCTCCAAGTCTGGGGCTTCTGAGTCCCTTAAGCAAGCTCTGCTCCTTGTCCTATGGAGGGGCCCCATAGGCAGCTCCAGGAGTCCACACATAGGCATTTCAAAACGGGCTTTATTATTATTTTTTCAAAACGGGCTTTAAATACTTATCAGGGTGCCACACAAAGGAGCTGGGGTGAGAACGTGGTACATGTGAGTGTGAGGCTGGGGTGCCCTGAGAGAGAAAAAGGGGACCCATCTGTCAGGGCAGCTGGCGTGCCCCACCCCCACCCTGGGACTAGGGAGCAGAGTAGAAGCCCTCTCTGGAGGGTCCCAGGGCTAACTGGGAGCCAGCCCTCCCTTCGAGGTAGATCATCGGGGAGGGAACTGAGAAGCAGCTCCCACGGTGGCAGTGGCTTCCTCAGTGGTACTGCTGATAGCTGGGATAGCCTGGGGCTGGAGTGCCATCCTTAGGGGGCAGCTGGCTGGGGTCCTCCAGGAATGGGGGTGCTGGAGAGGGAAGAATCCGGTAAGGATGAGTGGAAGAGGCCAGGTGGCGCATTTCCCGCTCCCCTCACCACCATCTACCAGGTACTCACCATTTCGGAACTGCTGGGCGGTGTAGCGAGTGAGGAGGATGCCAACACCCTCAATGAGGGCCAACAGGATGCCCCCCATCATCGCTGAGCCCATCATAGCCAATGGACCACCTGGAGGAGTTAGGGGCAGAGAAACAGAGGTGAGGGCAGGCAGAACAGCAGAGAAGAGGCTGGGGTCAGGGCCAGGGCCAGGGGGCACTCACTGCGGGCAGCCAGCACAGCCCCGGTCAATGCTCCACTAGTGATAGAGTTCCAAGGATCCTCCTTGCCCCGAAGCCGCACCAGGCCACAGTCTATGGTGGAGAACAGGCCCCCCCACACTGCAAAGCTACCTGTAGTAGGACCAAGGCCTAATTAGTTCCTGAATTAGTTCCTGGGAAATCCCAAGAATTTACATTTCAGGGGGCTTCCAAGGCCTAAATGTTTTGGCCAAGAACAGGGAAAAAAAAATCCAGACACAAAGGCAGATAGCAAATCCCCAGAGAGTATTTCCTATCTGTCCCCATCCTGTGGTAGCTCCCACTTCAAGTTGTCTATAATCACCATCAACATTCCCTTCACCTTTATGGGGAGCTGACAAATGTTTACAAGCAGATTTATCTTCATACAGCCTTTAACAGAGTAACTTTGAGCTTCATAATCACCACACAGAGTTGGAATTCTGATTTGGGTTTCAGTGAGAAGAAAATAAGTTGGAAAAGCCAGTTAATATGATAGTTAAAATGTTTACTGAGGGCTTACTGTATGCCAGGACCTGTTCGAGGTACTGTTATTTGACTTCTGCAATTTTAAATTAGTTAATGTTATTAAAGTGTTTAGCATAGCAACAAGCACTTAGTAGTATGTAAATTACATAAACTACAAAACTACTGATAAGGTGGTTACTATTATCACCACCCCCATGGGACAGGTGAGGTTCAGAGGGGTTAAGCCACTAGCCCAAGGTCACATGGCAGGGAAGAGTCAGGACCTAAATTTAAACTCCAGAACCCACTTTCTTCCCCTCCATATTCAATTGTTGGAAAACATCACACCCCTGGAAAGTCTCCGGCAGGGGCTAGAATCTGAACCCCCAACTTGCAGCCTCGACCTGAAGGATCAATCATTCCCATCTTTGCCAAGACATCTCCTATATCTATGTCCCCAAGCCCCTCACCTCCAATCTGGGGGGCTCGGATCCTCACAGAGTTGGCACTGCCTCTCAACCGGTGCCGAATTCCCTGGGGAAAGGAAGAAAGGGAGTCAGGGCAGGGCTGAAGCCACTGGCAGATGGGTTTCCAGCTTTTAAGAGAGGGAAGAAGATGGGAGATCTGTTAGAGGTATCAGCAGTAGGGATGTGGAGAAGTGGCCAAGAACTAGGGGTGTGGAGGGTGCCCCAAAATGGATGTTCTCAGAGCTGAGTTGACAAGTGCTAATTCATTCATATATTTGTTCATTCATTCAGTAAATGATTAACAAGTACTGGCCAGGCACAGTGGCTCATGCCTGTAATCCCAACACTTTGGGAGGCTGAGGCAGGCGGATCACGAGGTCAGGAGATGGAGACCATCCTGGCCAACATGGTGAAACCCTATCTCTAAAACAACAACAATAACAACAACAAAAAAAAGTAAACAAGTACCCACTATATGTGCCAGGCACCATGCCATATACAGGGATACAGCCATGAACAAGGTAGATCTGCTCCCTGCCCTCTAAGAGCTCACATTAACAGTGGGAGACACAGATCCTGAGCAAGGGTAAGTAAACAAGGCAGCTTCAGACAGCAATCTGCACTTTAGCAGAAACACCATGAAGAAATATGATTGGGGCTGAGGGGTCAGGAAAGGCCTCTTGAAGGAGGGGGAATTCGCGCTGAGACCCTGATGATGATAAACCTGGCCAAAGATCCAGGGAGGAGAGTTCCAGGAATCTAGGGGAGGGATGGGGCTAAATATGTAAATTGCAGAGACCTTGGCAAATAGATGGCATTAAAGCCACAGCATTTGTGATCTTCTGGGAAGGGAGGTGGTCAGAGAAAAATAATTATGTTAAAAGAATTCTCTCAACTTTAAGGCTGTCTTCCCTCTGGCAATTAAATTCCTGTCATTTTCCTCTATCCAGGTTTCTAAGCCAGAATCTGCCTCCAGGCAAAATGTGTCTGGTCCTGGTGCAGTGGTTCATGCCCCTAATCCCAACACTGTGGGAGGCTGAGGTGGGTGGATCACTTAAGCTCAGGAGTTAGAGAGCATCCTAAGCAACATGTTGAAACCCCATCTCTACCAAAAAAAAAAAAAAAAAAAAATTAGCTGGGTGTGGTGGCACAGTCCAGTGATCCCAGCTACTTGGGAGGCTGACGTGGGAGGATCACTTGAGCCTGGGAGGTGGAGGTTGTAGTGACCGTGATCACACCACTGCACTCCAGCCTGGGCGACAGGGCAAGATGCTGTCTGGAAAAAACAAAACAAAAAACAAAAAAACCCCAAAAGGTTGGGTGCAGTGGCTTACACCTATAATCCCAGCACTTTGGGAGGCCCACCAGGCAGGCAGATCACGAGGTCAGGAGTTTGAGACCAGCCTGATCAACATGGTAAAACCCTGTCTCTACTAAAAACACAAAAAGTAGGCGGGCGTGGTAGCAGGCGCCTGTAATCCCAGCTACTCAGGAGGCTGAGGCAGGAGAATTGCTTGAACCCAGGAGGCAGAGGCTGTAGTGAGCCAAGACTGTGCCACTGCACTCCAGCCCAGGCAACAGAACAAGACTTCATCTCAAAAAAAAAAAACAAAACAAAAAAACAACTTGGCTGGGTGCAGTGGCTCACACTTGTAATCCCAGCACTTGGGGAGGCTGAGGCAGGTGAATCACCTGAGATCTGGAGTTCAAAACCAGCCTGGACAACATAGTAAAACCCTGTCTCTACTAAACATACAAAAATTCGCCAGGTGTGGTGGCACATGCCTGTAGTCCCAGCTACTCGGGAGGCTGAAACAGGAGAATCACTTGAACCTGGGAGGCGGAGGTTGCAGTGAGCCAAGATCGTGCCTCTGCACTCTAGCCTAGGTGACACAGTGAGACTCCGTCTCCTTTCTTTTCTTTTTTTGCTCACCTTTAACTGTCTTGATTGAGTTATAGCGAGACTCTCTAAAAAAAAAAATCTGTTTAGCTTTGTACACACATTTAAGATTTGGTAATGACTCTTTGAACAACACAGCATTTCCACAGAGGAGCTTCAGTTGGATGGGGTGGAGGGTGGAGGACAGAGGTCATGTTTGCAATCCCTACAAAATCCCAGATACAGGAGTCAGGCTTGGCACACAGTAGGTGAGTGGGCACCAGAATGAAAAAGTACACGTGACTGACAGCTCCAAGCAGTTTTCAGAGCAACATCCCTTGTGGGTAAGACAGCTGACCCCACACCAACGCAGGGAAGGCCTGGACTCACAACAGGGGCATTGCGGAAACCCTTGATGGCCTGGAAGACTCCACCACCGATGACACCCATAGTGAAGGCTCCTCCGCAATCATCCACAATTCGCCATGGGCTGCAAGCAGGAAGGGAAGGACGGGGTTAATGTGAGCCCTCCCCTAGGCCCTGTCACACGGATTCTTTTCTAACTGGGAGAAACCAAGTCACCAGAATGGGAAGTGCCTAAGTAGGAACAAACACTTCAGATAAGGAGCTAGTCCTGTCAGTTTCCCCTGCATTAAAGCGAGAAATAGGGCAAACGGGGAGAAATATTAGTCTTCGTCCTGCCTACCAACCAAGGAATCAGCCAACTGCTTTACTGTGCTCAAAGATTAAATGAATTGGCACATGCAAGGAGCTGACGTTTCAATAAGTGAAATAGGCCTGTTAACTAACCAAGACAGATCGTCAGCAAAGCAGGACCGTCTCACACCCCTTCTCCGACGGTGAGACCGTCCAATCAAGCCCCGCCCCTTTTCAATCCAGTACAATTGGAAAAAACCAAGGGCGAACGCGGGGAGGATCCACCGCCCCCTCTGGCCTTCAATAGGCTCATCCGTGCCCCGTCCCCACTGACAAAGGCGACCTGGAAAAACACCCGCGGCAACTCTGGGGATTTCCGTTCAACCCCGTACTACCCCCAGCCGGGATGGATTCAACCAACGTGTTTTTTCGTTAACAAACAGGTACTAGATTACGAAGTCAGGAAAACGTGACGTGGTTCGGCCTCCGCCGCACCTTCTGAGGGGAGACAGTTGTGGCCCCTCATAACAGAACCCGAGTGACAGGAACCAAGTTGGGGGACTGGGAGATACGTTAAGAGTACCCCGAGTCTGGTACATGGTTCTGTGCGGCCGACGCCTCCCCCGCCCGACCCCCACGGCTGGCCTTGGCGTCGCAGCAAGTCCCGATGCCAGTGCCCATCGCCGTACCAAGGCTCCCGAGCGTACTCCTCCATGGCGCTGGCGTCCGGCCGCGCAGTCAGGCCACGCCCCCAGTGTTGACGCACACCGGCGTCCGAGCTTTCCGCCTATTACCGGGCAGCGATTGGGTTGCTACGCAACACGTCACACCAAGGACACACTCTTATTGGCCAATCGAGTGCGCCATTTGCTCACTCCCTCCTTAGCGTAGTCCAGTTACCTTCAAGCTCGGGGAGAGAAGACTTCATTCTGTGCCTTGGGAAGAGAGTCGTGTGGTCCCAGGTATCGTAGCGGCGACACGAGAGAGACGGCCGGTGTGACAGCCTTCCACTACCTGCACGACTATATTGGTAACGTTGGGGTGGGTGCATTCTTTTGGAGCTGGAGGAAGTGCTGCCCTCTGCTCCCCCATCCCAGCGCTTTGGTTTCTCCCACCCGGCGGTCTTTGGGGGACGCTGGATGAGCCCATTTCTGGGGTGCGGGGTAGCCGCGCTTCTTAGGCGGTGGGCGGAGCCTGTTCTGTCCACCCAACTACTATTTCAATTGAATAGATGGGAGTCAGATGTGTACATGTTGAGGGGAGGCGCTCGTTTACGGGATCCAGATATGAATCCTTATCTGAGCTGCTTATCAGTTTGTCCTTCTGTTCTTAGGTCTGTCTGCTACCAGCTATGCCGCTGCCCGTTGCGCTGCAGACCCGCTTGGCCAAGAGAGGCATCCTCAAACATCTGGAGCCTGGTGAGACAGCTAAAAGCAGATGGTCCTACACGTTCCAGCCTCCACGGACACTTTTGTTGTTACCTAGCGTGGGCCAACTGTGCACCAAGCAATGGCGTGGCAGGCATTTTTCGTTGTTAACGATGTGGATTCCTCACATCCATCCCTACCATATGTCAAGTGGAGGAGGTTGGGGGAATAGTCTTTTTTTTTTTTTTTTTTTTTTTTGAGACGGAGTCTCCCTCTGTGCCCAGGCTGGAGTGCAGTGGCATGATCTCTGCTCACTGCAACCTCTGTCTTCCAGGTTCAAGCGATTCTCCTGTCTTAGCCTCCAGAGCAGCTGGGAGTATAGGCACGCCCCACCACACCTGGTGATTTTTTTTTTGAGACGGAGTCTGGCTCTGTCGCCCAGGTTGGAGTGCAGTGGCACGATCTAGGCTCACTGCAACCTCTGCCTCCCAGGTTTAAGTGATTCTCCTACCTCAGCTTCCCGAGTAGCTGGCATTATAGGCGTGTGCCATTACACCCAGCTGATTTTGTTTTTTGGAGACGGAGTCTCGCTCTGTGCCCAGGCTGGAATACAGTGGCACCATCTTGGCTCACTGCAACCTCCCCTTCCGGGTTCAAGCAGGATTCTCCTGCCTTAGCCTCTCGAGTAGCTGGGACTACAGGCACACCACCATACCAGGCGATTTTTTTTTTTTTTTTTTTTTTTTTTTTTTTTTTTTTTTTTTAGACAGAGTCTCGTTCTGTCGCCCAGGCTGAAGTGCAGTGGCACGATCTAGGCTCACTGCAACCTCTGCCTCCCATGTTCATGATTATCCTGCCTCAGCTTCCCGAGTAGCTCGCATTATAGGCATGTGGCACCACACCTGGCTGATTTTTTTTTTTTTTTTTGCAGACGGAGTCTTGCTCTGTCACAGAGGCTGGAATGCAGTGGTGCTATCTTGGCTTACTGCAACCTCTACCTCCGCAGTTCAAGCAATTCTCCTGTCTCAGCCTCCCTAGTAGCTGGGACTACAGGCGTACGCTGCCATGCCCGGCTAATTTTTTGTATTTCTGGTAGAGACGGGGTTTTAGTGTGTTGCCCAGGCTGGTCTCAAACTCCTGAGCTCAAGTAATCCACCTGCCTCAGCCTCCCAAAGTGCTAGGATTACAGGCATGAGGCATGGCGCCCAGCCACACCCGGCTGATTTTTGTATTTACAGTAGAGACAGGATTTCACCATGTTGGCCAACCTGGTCTCAAACTCTTGACCTCAGGTGATCCACCCCCTATCGGCCTCCCAGAGTGCTGGGATTACAGGCGTGAGCCACCACGTCCCACGGATGTTTCATTCTTAACAATACTGGGCCGGGCGCGGTGGCTCAAGCCTGTAATCCCAGCACTTTGGGAGGCCGAGGCGGGTGGATCACGAGGTCGAGAGATCGAGACCATCCTGGTCAACATGGTGAAACCCCGTCTCTACTAAAAATACAAAAAAATTAGCTGGGCATGGTGGCTCGTGCCTGTAATCCCAGCTACTCAGGAGGCAGAGGCAGGAGAATTGCCTGAACCCAGGAGGCGGAGGTTGCGGTGAGCCGAGATCGTGCCATTGCACTCCAGCCTGGGTAACAAGAGCGAAACTCTGTCTCAAAAAAAAAAAAAAAAACAATACTGACTGGATGGGCGTGGTGGCTCACTTGAGTTTAGGGTTTCAAGACAGCCTGAGCAACAAGGCGAAACCCCATCTCTACAAAAAATGCACAAATTAGCTGTGTGTTGTGGTGTGTGCCTGTAGTCCCAGCTATTTGGGAGGCTGAGGTGAGAGGATTGCTTGAGCCTGGGATGATGTCGAGGCTGCAGTGAGTCGAGATTGTGCCACTGCACTCCAGCCTTGGTGACACATGGAGACCCTGTCTCAAAAAAATCCAAAAAAACATAAAACAATACTGAGCACCTAATGCCTGTGTTGGGCCTATAGTATGCCAGGTTAAATCCATGGATTACTCTGGGAGTGATGACACAGTATCTAATAGGAAGGATTGCTAAACTTCTACTGCTGTCTCCTGTGTGCCAAGTACAGTTTCAGTGAGGATCTGTCATTTAGGCTTATTGTGCTCTGGCTGCAAATCACACCGTATTGTCAGTAATACTAAAAACTGGCATCTATTTGAGGCTATGGTGTGGCACTGAAAACTACATCTTATCCTTATTGATAACTGACATCTATTACAAGCCTACTGTATGCAAGGCATAGACCTCCTTGTGGTTAATAAAATTGACAATGATCATTGATTTTCTTTTCCTTTTTTTTTTTTTTGAGATAGAATGTCGCTCTGTCGCCCAGGCTGGAGTGCAGTGGGCCAATCTCGGCTCACTGCTACCTCTGCCTCCTGGGTTGAAGCAATTCTCCTGCCTCAGCCTCCTGAGTAGCTGGGACTATAGGTGCACACCACTGTGCCTGGCTAGTTTTTTTATTTTTTAGTAGAGACAGGGTTTCACCATGTTGGCCAGGCTGGATTGATTTTCTTTTAAGCCTACTGAGTGACCTGTCCCTATGGTATATGTATCTTGCTTATTTATTTATTTGAGACATGGTCTCATTCTTTTGCCCAGGCTGGAGTACAGTGGCACGATAATAGCTCACTGCAAGCTCAAACTCCGGGGCTCAAATGATCCTCCTGCCTTAGCCTCCTGAGTAGTTGGGATTACATACATGTACCATTGTGCCCAGGTAATTCTTTTGTAGAGACAGGGGTCTTGCTATGTTGACCAGGCTGGTCTCATGTTGAACTGGCCTCAAGCAATCCTCCACCTTAGTCCAAAGCTCTGGGATCACAGGCGTGAGCCACCACACCCAGCCTCTTATTAACAGTAGTGGTGATTATATAGCTGACATCTGTTTTAGTTCGGCTGTGTGACAGGCACTGTGCTGTTGCTGGTATATGCATTTCGTTATTTATTATATCCACAGCTGAAATCTGTTATAGGCCTACTGAGGGCCAGGCACTGAGCTAAGGGACACATCTTTTTATTCTGTGATATTGACTGACATCTGTTACAGGCTTTCTGTGTGTCAGGCCTCAGGAACTGAATGGATTCAGAGTAATGTTTGGATAAATCCATTGCCATCCAAACTCCTGATACCCAATATACGGGACTTACCCTGTAATCATGAAGCTTGCATGCTAAACAGATTGAACATATTGTCAGATTAATCCTTTACTGTTCAAACCCATTTTATCTAAATAGATTTGGATAACACAGTTTCACATATCTGAACTCAGGAACTGAACAGAGAAGGGTAAATTTTGGCCGGGCGCGGTGGCTCACGCCTGTAATCCTAGCACTTTGGGAGGCCGAGGTGGATCACCTGAGGTCAGGAGTTCAAGACCAGCCTGGCCATCATGGTGAAACCCCATCTTAAAAAAAAAAAAGAAAAGAAAAAAAGAAAAGGGTAAATTTTTTGATGAATCTCTATCAGCTCTGAAACCAGATAGCTTTGGCCAACAATAGAACTCATCATCTGAACCCAGAAACAGAACAGAGTTAGGTAAACTTTTTTTTGTAACCCTCCTAATACAGAGAGTTGGATTTGGAATGTGAGGGATACTTCATATCCTTCCTGGCATGCACACACACGTGTCTTTTACATGTGGCTTGTGTGAATGTGTGTGTGTGTGTGTGTGTGTGTGTCTAGGCTCTGTAGGATGAGGACTCCCCTGGTCCCTAACTGCTCTCCTCCTCCTTGATCTGCCAGAACCAGAGGAAGAGATCATTGCTGAGGACTATGACGATGATCCTGTGGACTACGAGGCCACCAGGTTGGAGGGCCTACCTCCAAGCTGGTATAAAGTGTTCGACCCTTCCTGGTGAGCCTGGATGAGGGGGAGCTGACTTCTGACATGACCCTTCCTGTGCTGACCTTGATTGTGAAGTACAGGGGGACACAAGGGAGGGGCCCTGGGGTGGAGGGTATTGGGTATCTGCAGGAACCAAGTTGCTACATGCTTGGGCCTGGCTCCTAGGGGATTGGAAGACAGTCTTTTCTCTTTAAGAGATGAGATTCTGGGGATCCTCCCTGTGGGGTCCTGACATGGGGCAAGTATAGTCAGAGACTGGGGAGACAAGAGTTGAGGATGTAAGGCGAGGACTTCTGTGCTGACGCTCCTCTCCTCCTGCGGCCCCACAGTGGGCTCCCTTACTACTGGAATGCGGACACAGACCTCGTATCCTGGCTCTCCCCACATGACCCCAACTCTGTGGTCACTAAATCTGCCAAGAAGCTCAGAAACAGTAATGCAGGTGAGTTGGCAGGTACAAGGGGGCCTTGAGTGATCTTAGCAGTTTTCACTGAGAGGCCAAGTAGAATGATAGTGGATCAGAGGGGCAGGTGAGACCAGGTGGGCCCAGCCTCAGGCAAGGGAGGTTGTTGAAGGCAGAGGCTGCTGGGTCCTGGGGTAGGAAGAGAAGGTCACTTCAAGACTCATGTCCTCAGATGCTGAAGAGAAGTTGGACCGGAGCCATGACAAGTCGGACAGGGGCCATGACAAGTCAGACCGCGGCCATGAGAAACCAGACAGGAGCCATGACAAGTCAGACCGGGGCCACGACAAATCTGACAGGGATCGAGAGCGTGGCTACGACAAGGTAGAAAGAGAGAGAGAGCGAGACAGGGAACGGGATCGGGACCGCGGGTATGACAAGGCAGACCGGGAAGAGGGCAAAGAACGGCGCCACCATCGCCGGGAGGAGCTGGCTCCCTACCCCAAGAGCAAGAAGGGTAAGCTGGGCAGAATGGGGCTGGTGAAACCAGCAAGGCACAGGGCACACTGAGGAAGCCTTCTCTCAGAAAGATGCCTGGACCTGGGCCCTGGAGGAGGGTGCTGTGGTCCATGGCAGCCAGGGGCTCCATTTCTTCTTGGGGGTGGGGCTCAGTGATCAGGGGCTCCTGGTACCTCTATTGAAGATCCTGCCCTGCCACTTCCACAGCAGTAAGCCGAAAGGATGAAGAGTTAGACCCCATGGACCCTAGCTCATACTCAGATGCCCCCCGGTAAGTGACAGCCCCTCATGACTCAGTATGTGGACACCATCCTCCTGCCTCCTTCCTCCATTCCTCATTGGGACCAGGTGGGCTGTGTCCGCCACATCTCCCATCCACATCCCCTGACTCTTTCATCGGCAGGGGCACGTGGTCAACGGGACTCCCCAAGCGGAATGAGGCCAAGACCGGTGCTGACACAACAGCAGCTGGGCCCCTCTTCCAGCAGCGGCCGTATCCATCCCCAGGGGCTGTGCTCCGAGCCAATGCGGAGGCCTCCCGAACCAAGCAGCAGGATTGAAGCTTCAGCCTTCCCAGCCCTGGGTTAAAATAAAAGTTTTCCGGTGATGCTGTCCACCATGCCTGAGTGGTTCCTTCGAGGCTGCCCAACCCAAGTCGGCAAGATGTACAACACATTTTATTTGCAAAAACTCAGCTAAGAGATAGTGTGGGGCTGGCAGGGGCTGGGGGCTGAGCTAAGGTGGGTCATTACGAGACAGCTTAGTCATGTTGGCCTTGCACGGGGCAGGGGTGGTGGGGACAGGGAGTTCGGTGTCTACCTCACCCTACCCCTAATACTGATCAGTTTGGTCCCAGCTGGGCCAGGGCAAGAAGAGAGAACGAGGCCAGGCCAACGTCTTCAATCCCAGCGGCTAGGAACCCTTCACCTTGGTGAGCAACCTGTGGTGGGAATGGGGAGGAAAGAAAAACACAAAGCTGGGCTAGGCTGGCAGGTGGGCTTCCTGAGCAAGCGAGGGCGGCAGTGGTGAGGCTGGTAGTCCTGGGGGTTAGTAACGGTGCCCGCCTGGGTCAGAAAGCTACACGTGGACTAAATAAATACAACATCTTTATTTGGCATTGGGTATCCTGACATTTGTTCATTACAGTTCCTTAAAAAACAAACCAAAAAAATCAGAACAAGTTAATCAAAAATAAAGATCCGATGGCCCTATTTACATATAGCAAAGACAGCCCAGGCATCTTCCATGCACACACACACACCCCGTGCCCCGATACAGTTAAGGGGTTAATAAGCTTTGGGGAGTGCAGGAGGCAGGTTTCACAGTTCATCAATCCCAAGACACCCCGATGAGGTAGGGGTGCCTCACACAGCCAGTGGGGTATCAAGAGTGTGATTGGCAGCTTTATTTTTCCTCTCTAGATGTCTCCATAAATAACCCTGCATCTGGCAACTGACAGTGTCTTAAATACAATGAGATTCAGCCACTTCAAGGACTTCCACTTTTCCCACGCTCTGGATCATTAATGATCTGATTACACCACAAATCCCAAGTCCACTGGAGAAAAAAAAAAAAAAAAAAAAAATAGCCTCTACCGCCCGCCAGAAGGGCTGATGCAGAAATCTCAGCTCTTGTCCGGGACTCGCAAGAAGCCCATCCTCAAGGTGTCAGGGAAGCTGCCCCAAGGCCACACAAAAGACCGAACTGCTAACATGATCCAGAGCGGTGGTAAGGGAGGAGAGAAGGCCTCAAACTATGGGCAACCAAACCCCACAGGTAGGCGTCAGTCATTCCTGAAGAGCTTCGGGAGTTTTGTCCAGTGTGTCCTTATGGAGGTGGAGAGACTGCTGGGAGGGACTCTCCCAGACAAGACACCTCCAGCAGAGGGCACAGAGTAGGGGAGGGGCAGACAAAAAAAAGGCCTTGAATGACAATAACCCCCAACCCTGCCTCCAAAGAGGTTAGAGGGGACAGAGGAGGCAGCTCTAAAATTCCCTCCAGAGGAAGAGGATCAGCCTACCAGGAAGGGTTCACATGACACCCAGCCCTAGTCTCACGCCCCTCCAGAAGTCTCAGTGACGTGGGAGAAAAGACCATCTTCCAAACCCAAAGGAGCCAGGCCCCGGAGGGCGGCGACTTGGGTCCTGCAGATGCCCAACACCCTCCACCCAGTCCCCCTCCCTTGTGTCCCCCCATAGCTGCCAGCCCTCACTTCACCAGCACTGACTTTGGCAGAAAGGGCTCCGTGATGAGGTCTCCACGGTGGGAAGAAAGCTGTGGTGGCGGTGGCTGCCCGGGAGGCTGCTGGTGAACACAGGGCCCGGAGGCGGAGGCAGAGGCAGAGGCTATGGCTTTGGCTGCACCTCGGGGAAGGCTGTAGAGGTAGACGGCACCAATGACGAGCCCAGCGCCAAGGGCAAACAATGGGTCCACATGGAAGCCAAAGAGGCGAATGGAGGCAACAGTGGACAGCACAATGGACAGGGAGGTGGCAAAGCCCTTGAGGATGTTGTCAGCGTACTTGACAACCACAGCCACCAGTAGCCCACCGAAGGCCTGATTGAGCACCACGCCCCAGACAGCAGGCGTGTACCCAAAAAAGAAACCGCGGCTGGCCACGGCAGTGCCCTCAGCCCACCAGAGCCCCACCAGGCCCAGTGCTGTACCAAAGAGGCCCAGTTGCAGGTTGCGTAGCCACACAGAGCCTGAGCTGCCTTTGAGGATCTTCTCAAAGTAGACACCTGCGAAGCCGGAGGAGAGACAGGAGGCCACGACAGCTGCCAGGCCTGCCCCAGGGTTCTGATCCAGTGGCCGTGGGCCTCCCCCACCGGCTTGCTGTGCCTGGACAATGGCGACGCCAGTGAAGAGGAGCAGCAGGGAGGCCCACTGCAGCCGGGAAAGGCTGCGGTTCAGCATAAGCACGGAGAACAGCGCTGTGGTCAGGATCTTCAGCTGGTACGTCACCTGTGAGTGGCACATGGAAGGCACTGAGGGCTGACCCCAGCCCCCAACAGGTGCACGTGGGGGGCAGCATCCACTGTGGGCCCCCAGGCACAACAGAGGGACAGGGTGGGGTGGATGACAATAAAAACAGCAAAAGTAGCCAGCCACTGGCCATTGGCCAAGCTGTAGCAAAACAGCTCTGAGGTCCCTCCCAGAAAGTGCACAAAAGGATGGCTGTGCCAGAAAGTCCACATCCCAATCCCATTTCCTGGCTGTGTGACCAGGGACAAAGCACTTGCCCTATTTGAGCCCTGGCATCGTCTATAAAATATGGCTGAGGTATAGAAGTAGGTTATCTCAGCTGGGCGTGGTGGCTCATGCCTGTAATCCCAGCACTTTGGGAGGCTGAGGTGGGCAGATCACTAGAGGTCAGGACTTTAAGACCAGCCTGGCCAACATGGTGAAACCCCATCTCTTAAAAAAAAAAAAAAAAAAGAAGTAGGTAATCTTTGTGATGAGGGACTTGATACAAATGAATCAATAGCAACAATGTCAGCAAATACTTACATAGTGCTTACTATCTATCAGTGCAGTTCTAGGAACTACACATGAATTCATTCATTTAATCTTCATCTTCACAACACCATTCTGAAGTGAGTACCACTATAAGCCCTGATTTTTTTTTTTTTTTTTAGACAGAGTTTCGCTCGTTACCCAGTCTGGAGTGCAATGGTGTGATCTTGGCTCACTGCAACCTCGGTCTCCTGGGTTCAAGCAAGTCTGCCTCAGCCTCCCGAGTAGCTGGGAGTACAGGCACGCGCCACCATGCCCAGCTAATTTTTTTGCATTTTTAGTAGAGACAGGGTTTCACCATGTTGACCAGGATGGTCTCGATCTCTTGACCTCGTGATCCACCCGCCTCGGCCTCCCAAAGTGCTGGGATTATAGGCGTGAGCCACCACACCTGGCCTGTTTTTGTTTTTAAGATGGAGTCTCACACTGCTAGAGGGCAGTGGCACAATCTCAGCTCACTGCAGCTTCCGCCTCCTGGGTTCACCCGATTATCCTGCCTCAGCCTCCCGAGTAGCTGGGATTACAGGCACGCACCACCACACCCAGCTAATTTTTTGTATTTTTAGTTGAGACGGGATTTCACTATGTTGGCCAGACTAGTCTCAAACTCTTGACTTTGTGATCCACCCGCCTCGGCCTCCCAAAGTGCTGGGATTACAGGCATGAGCCACTATGCCTGGCTGTAACCCCTGATTTAAAGATGAGAAAACGAAGGCACAGAGAGGTTAGGTGACATGCCTCAAAATCACACAGCTGGAAAGTAGCAGAGCTAAGACTTGAACACAGGCAGCCTCGCCCTAGAACTCAGGCTCTTTAACCATTTCACAAAGCTGCCCACAAATAATAGCCTAAAGCTTATCTATCGCCAGCCAAGGGCTCTTCATAGATACTTCTTTTAAGTATCCTAGCATCTCAGTGAACAGGCATTACTGTTTCCACCCCCAATTCTCACAGACAAGGAAAGGGAGGTTGAGGGCATTCTGAGGACATTCTGGAGGTTAATACAGCCCCTGTCCTCTGCAATACCTGCCACCACGGCATTCTCATACTCCAGTCCCCATCCCTGTTAGTTCCTCTGGGTCCATGCTGGGCTTGGGGCTCACCTGGAAAGTGGCAGCTGGTAGGTTAGAGATGGCAACATACTGGAGGTTATTCTGCAAGGTGTAGATGAGAGAGGGCACTGCGAGCTTGAGTGTGTCCACATACTGCACCAGGACAGCCTCGTGGAGGAAAAGAATCAGGTGCTTCACGTTACCTAGGTGGGAGGAGAACCCTTTTTAGGACTGACAGCCATACATCGGGAACCCCTGAAAGCTGGGGCCAGGCCTGGCTCCCTGACTTCCCTATCCATCCTGCTCTCCACTTCCTGGGGGCTGGAATGAAGTCTGTGATCTTGGTTTTCCCTAGAGTGCAACCGTGTTTCCAGCAAGCCTTTCTGAGACTAAGTTTAATAGAAGCAAAAGAATCAACCATTGGTGTCTGCTAATCACAGAGCATGTCACTCATCTCAGAGCCTACCTCACTGACAGAGAGCCACATTCAAGGCAAGTACTCAATACTCAATACATGTGTGTACAATGAAATAACCATCATTAGGCCAGGCGTGGTGGCTCAGACCTGTAATCCCAACACTTTGGAAGGCTAAGATAGGCAGCTCATGAGGTCAGGAATTCGAGAACATCATGGCCAACATAGTGAAACCCTGTCTACTAAAATACAGAAATGAGCTGGGTGTGGTGGCATGCGCTTGTAGTCCCAGGTACTTGGGAGGCTGAGGCAGGAGAATTGCTTGAACTCGGGAGGCGGAGGTTGCAGTGAGCCAATACTGCACCACTGCACTCCAGTCTGGGCAACAGAGTGAGACTCCATCTCAAAAAAAAAGAACCATTATGAACTCAGAGTTTATGAAGTAGAAGCCCTAGGAGCTGGGCTGGAGGGCTGTCTCCCACACAGAAGAGAAGTTTAGTCTAGACTTTTAGACTTCTAGCTCCTCACTGGCCCGTGTGCTATCTGAGGACAGGGGCCATCTCCCCCTTGTCGCATCTTTCTGTCAGCCCTAGACACACACAGTTGCCTCTGCCCGATGAATGCAGGCCTGACCATTAAGCAGAAGTCTGCTTGGGACCTGCTCCAATGAAAACATGAGAATTGGGGTGGGCGTGGTGGCTCACACCTGTAATCCCAGCACTTTGGGAGGCCAAGGTGGGTGTATCACCTGAGGTCAGGAGTTTGAGACCAGCCTGGCCAACACGGTGAAACCCCGTCTCTACTAAAAATACAAAAATTAGCTGGGCATGGTGGTGGGCACCTGTAATCCCAGCTACTCGGGAGGCTTAGGCAGGAGAATCTCTTGAACCCAGGAGGTGGAGGTTGCAGTGAGCTAAGATTACACCACTGCACTCCAGCTTGGGCAACAAGAGTGAAACTCTGTCTCAGAAAAAAAAAAAAAAAAAAAAAGAATGAAAGAAAGAAAGGAAACATGAGAATCATTTGCTATGTAACAAGGCCTTTGCAAAGCTTGCTCCACTATTTGGCAGTTTATCTTTTAAGTCATAGCTGGGTGTCACTCCAGCAGGCAAAACTTCAACAGCCACTGAACAAGGTTGTCCCAGGAACTCCTAATGATGCTCATTCACCAAACCCTGTCCTTGCCCTTCATGTCACTAATCCCAGGAGTAATTACTGGTCTTCAAACTCTAATTCAGGGGAAAAAAATTTCAGGGGGTAAGGGAGGGAGAGGAGCTGAAATTGTGGCTGAGATGAAGGCCTGTGATTAAGACTGTAACTATCTGTTATTGCCATCTCCCATCAGCAATGAGGACAAGCTGCTCCTCAGCATTGCTAACCCATCTAACCCCATGGCCTGAGGCAGTGTTCACATCTACACTGTCCACAGGGTCAATAAAGGTAAGAGCAGGTATCTTGTTAACCTGGAGTTAACAAGTGGGTGAGTGCTCTCTTCAATGTAAACAATGGGCAAAGGTACATAATTCATCTTTATCCCTTTACTTATGCAAGACCTTTTTAGAGAAACAATTGGGCAACACTTCAAAGTAGAAGGCCTTCAGGGAGATGTTGAAATTAGTAGATAAACAGAACTCCCAATTTACAAGAGATGTAGAAGACAGAAGAATATTTGTTAAATTTTTGAGAATATTTGCCTCAAGGAGGGAGTCAGTAAGATCCAGACTACCCAAAGTCTACAAGACAAATGACCTGTTTTCTCCAACAAATTAATTGCAAAGACAAAAAAAACCCCCCCAAAAAAAACCCAAAAAAACAACAAAAAAAACCCCTAGAGTAACAGATTTAGAAGATACCAAACAGGCATCTGTTTGGTGGCTCACACCTGTAATCCCAGGATTTTGGGAGGCTGAGGCAGGTGGATCATGAGGTCAGGAGTTTGAGACCAGCCTAACCAACATAGTGAAACCTCGTCTCTACTAAAAATACAAAAATTAGCCAGGCATAGTGGTGCCCACCTGTAATCCCAGTTACTCAGGAGGCTGAGGCAGGAGAATCACTTGAACCTGGGAGATGAAGTTTGCAGTGAGTCATCTCAAAAAAAAAAAAAAAAAAGATTCCAATTACAAAACATTGACTAAATACCAGTGAATTTTTAAAAAAACTTTTATAACATTTAAGAGATCATTATAAATTTGAACACTGACTGGATTATTTGATTATTTGACTTTTATTTTTTTTTTAGACTGAGTCTCACTCTCACTCAGGCTGGAGTGCGGTGTCACGATTATTTGACTATTTTTTATTTAAATTTTAAAAAGGAGCCAGGTGCAGTGGCTCACGCCTGTAATCCCAATACTGTGGGAGGCCAAGGTGGGTGGATCACAAGGTCAAGATATCGAGACCATCCTGGCCAATATGGTGAAACCCCGTCTCTACCAAAAATACAAAAATTAGCTGGGGGAAATGGGGGAGGGACAGTGAAGGGTGGGGAGTTGGGGAGAGATAGCATGGGGAGAAATGACAGATATAGGTGAAGGGGAGGAAGGCAGCAAATCACACTGCCACGTGTGTACCTATGCAACAATCTTGCATGTTCTTCACATGTACCCCAAAACCTAAAATGCAAAAAAAAAAAAAAATCTAAAAAAAATATATATTGACTTTGATAGCAAATGAGGGAAAACATTTATATAAGTGAAGTTTTCTGTTCAAGGATGTTGACGGCAGTGTGGCATAGCATGTTGAAAATAGAATACAGCCTGATTGTACAACCCTAAAAGATTGGCTTGATAAATTACTGTAATTCCAAATGATTATTATTCAGGCATTAAATGTGCTATGGAATAATATTTAATCATTTGGAAAATTTACAATGCATATGAATAGTATGCACAATCTGATCTGTTTTCTATATTGTGTGTGCAAAAAATAATAAAAGGACTGCCAGGAAATATGCAAAAAATATTAAAAGAGGTAATTTTGGGATGGTGAAAAAAAAAAAAATTAACTGGGCGTGGTGACACACGCCTTTAGTCCCAGGCTACTCGAGAGGCTGAGACATGAGAATCATTTGAACCTGGGAGGCAGAGGCTGCAACTCCGGCCAGAGCAAGACTCCATCTCAAAAAAAAAAAAAAAAAAGGCCAGGCGTGGTGGTTCATGCCTGTAATCCCAGGATCTTTGGCGGCCAGATCACCTGAGGTCAGGAGTTCAAGACCAGCCTGGTTAACATGGCCAAACCCTGTCTCTACTAAAAATACAAAAATTAGCCAGGCGTCGTGGCAGGTGCTTGTAATCCCACCTACTCGAGAGGATGAAGCAGGACAATCGCTTGAACCCAGGAGGTAGAGGTTGCTGTGAGCCGAGATTGCATCCACTGCACTCCAGTCTGGGCAACAGAGTGAGACTCTGTCCTAAAAAAAAAAAAAAAAAAAAAAAAGCCAGGCGCGGTGGCTCATGCCTGTAACTCCAGCACTTTGGGAGGCCGAGGTGGGTGGATCACCTGAGGTCAGGAGTTTGAGACCAGCCTGACCAACATGGTGAAACCCTGTGTCTAATAAAAAATTACAAAAATTTAGCCGGGTGTGGTGGTGAGTGCCTGTAATCTCCCGCTACTGGGGAGGCTGAGGCAGGAGAATTGCTTTAACCCGGGACGGGGAGGTTGCAGTGAGCCGAAAATTGCTCGCACCACTGCACTCCAGCCTGGGTGACAGAGCAGGACTTGTTAAAAAAAAAAAAAAAATCAGAAAAAGATGTAAGCCTGGGCAACGTGGCAAAATCCTGTCTCTCCAAAAAGTACAAAAATTAGCAATGCCTGTGGTCCCAGCTAGTCAGAAGGATGAAGTGGGAAGATTGCTTGAACCCAGGAGGTCAAGGCTGCAGTGAGCCAAGATCACACCACTGCACTCCAGCCTGGGCAACAAAGTAAGACCCAGTCTCAAAAAACACACAAAACAAACAAACCCCATACATTTAGGGGGTACAACTGCAGTTTTGTTACATGGATACTGCACACTGGTGAAGTCTGTGTTTTTAGTGTACCCATCACCTGAACAGTGTACACTGTACCCATTAGAAAATTTCTCTCTCTTGACTCGCCTACCACCTTTTCATGTCTCCAAGGCCAATTATTCCACTATGTCCATGTCATTTTTTGAATTATTATTTTTTGAAGTGGACTCTCACTCTGTCGCCTAAGCTGGAGTGCACTGGCGTGCTCTGAGCTTACTGCAACCTCCACCGTCCGTGTTCAAGCATTTCTCCTGCCTCACCTTCCCAAGGAGCTGGGATTAACAGGCATGCATCGCCTTGCCCAGCTAATTTTTGTATTTGTAGTAGAGACAGGATTTTGCCATGTTGGCGAGGCTAGTCTTGAACTCCCGACCTCAAGTGATCCACCCACCTCTGCCTCCCAAAGTGCTGGGATTAAAGGCGTGAGCCACCATGCCCAGCTTTTTTTTTTTTTTTTTTTAAATTTTTTTGAGACAGTTTCGCTCTTGTTGCCCAGGCTGGAGTGCAATGGCACGATCTAGGCTCATGGGAATCTCTTGTCTCCCAGGTTCAAGTGATTCTCCCGCCTCAGCCTCCCAAGTAGCTGGGATTACAGGCATGTGCCACCCAGCCCGGCTAATTTTGTATTTTTAGAAGAGACAGGGTTTCTCCATGTTGGTCAGGCTGTTCTTGAACTCCTGACCTCAGGTGATCCGCTCACCTCAGCCTCCCAAAGTGCTGGGATTACAGGCATGAGCCACCACACCTGGCCTGTCCTATTTTTTAAATTAGTGTTAATTTTTTCATGTATGATTCCTAGGCATTGTATTTATTTTTATTTTATTTTTGAGATGGAGTCTCACTCTGTCACCCAGGCTGGAGTGCAGTGGGGTGATCTCCACTCAACACAACCTCCATTTTCTGGGTTTGAGTGATTCTTGTGCCTCAGTCTCCTGAGTCGTGGGGATTACAGGTACCCACTACCACATACAGCTAATTTTTGTATTTTTAGTAGTTGGCCAGGCTGGTCTTAAACTCCTGACCTCAAATGATCCACCCACCTCAGCCTTCCAAAGTGCTGGGATTACAGGCGTGAGCCACCGTGCCAGGCCAGTACTGTATATATATATGTATGTATTTATATTTTATTTTGAGACAGAGTTTCACTCTTATTGCCCAGGCTGGAGTGCAATGGTGGGACCTTGGCTCACCGCAACCTCTACCTCCCGGGTTCAAGTGATTCTCCTGCCTCAGCCTCCTGAGTAGCTGGGATTACAGGCGCCTGCCACCACACCCAGCTAATTTTTTAGTATTTTTAGTAGAAATGGGTATTCATCATGTTGGCCAGGCTGGTCTTGAACTCCTGACCTCAGGTGATCCACCCACCTTGGCCTCCCAAAGTAGTGGGATTACAGGCATAAGCCACAGTGCCTGGCTATTTATTTATTTTTTTGATATGGAGTTTCGCTCTTGTTGTCCAGGCTGGAGTGCAATGGCGAGATCTTGGCTCAATGCAACCTCTGCCTCCTGGGTTCAAGCGATTCTCCTGCCTCAGCCTCCCAGGTAGCTGGGATTACAGGCACGCACGACAGCACCCAGCTCATTTTGTAATTTTAGTAGAGATGGGGTTTCACTATGTTGGCCAGGCTGGTCTCAAGCTCCTGACCTCAGGTGATCTGCCGGCCTCAGCTTCCCAAAGTGCTGGGATTACAGGCATGAGCCACCATGCCTGGGTATTTATTTTTTTGATATGGAGTCTTGCTCTGTCACCCAGGCTGGAGTGAAATGTCGAGATCTTGGGCTCCCTGCAACATCTGCCTCCTGAGTTCAAGTGATCCCCCTGCCTCAGCCTCCCGGGTAGCTGGGATTACAGGCATACACGACAACGCCCAGCTCATTTTGTAATTTTAGTAGAGATGGGGTTTCATCATGTTGGTCAGGTTAGTCTTGAACTCTTGACCTCAGGTGATCTGCCCACCTGGGCCTCCCAAAGTGCTGGGATTTTTTTTTTTTTTTCAAAAAAAAAAAAAAAAAAAGTACCAAAACATTTATTCAAGATAATATGGGGGAATTTACTTCCATACAATATTACTCTGTGTGGGATTAACTTCAAAATAGAACGGGATAAGGACATAGGTAGACATATAGATTGGCAGTGAGTGGACAATAACTGATGTTGTTTTTTAATGAGCAGCCAGGAGTTGCTAACTGCTGACTCTGGGGGATGGGTACATGGATATTTTACTATTTGATTATTCTCTCCAATTTTGCATGTATTTGGAATTCTTCATAATATGAAGCTAAAGATGATTAAATCACATGTGCTACTTTATAAGTATAGACAATCACTCCTACAGTCCACACAGGCCAGCTCCCCACCTTTAGGGCTAGAAAAGTGTAAGATGCAGCTACGCATAGCTGGAGGGGTTCCCCAGGCAGGTTCAGATTTGGAGACAACTGAAGCAAACCCTCTGTGTGAACACACACACATACATGAGGAGTCCTACCCACCGCCCCCAGTGCAGCCCCCTCCCTGGCTCGTACCCCTCTTCTGTGCGAAGAGCAGCAGCAGGCAGGTGAGACCTTTGAGCACTTCTGCCATGACCACAGCTGTGGTGGCAAAGAAACGGTCTCCGGGCAACGTGCGGGCGTAGCGGATGCTGAGGATGAGAGAGGCATTCTGGACCACCAGCACGGCTAGGGATATGTACTTCAGGCGCCTGTGAGCTGTGGGGAACGGAAGGAGCAAGGAGTAAAGGAAGGGTCAGAAGCCGCTGGGGCATAGCCACACTGCCACCTAACCCCTCTCCTTTCTCACCCAGGACCCTCCTAGCCACAGCTCCTTGCTCCCTTAGCCTGCATGCCCTCACCCAATGAAGGTCTGATTACTAACAGCTGACTGCCTCAGCCATGAGCAGGAAGAGCCAGAAGGGAGAAATGGGCCCCACCCTGTCCAGTCCATACCTGGAACCCTTACCGAGGTGTCAGGAAATGGCTGAGGCAAACTCTGGCCATGTGCCTCGGCTCCCTCCCAAGTGAGAAGCAACTCTTTCCCCAGGCAGAATACCGACAACTACATTCTCCACGTTTATTGTTTATGTGTGCCTATCACTGGGTTAAGGGATTTCTATGGATTACTTCAACAGACTCTCATATCCTTCTCATCTCTAAAATAACTGCAAGGATTCCCATTTTATGGATGAGCAAACTGAGAATTTATATGAAATGATGCTCTTACTTAACGAGGGACTGGCCCATGTGAAGAATAAATCAGTGCAGGGAATGACGCCACTGTATGAGGTATGTTCACCCCCTAAGGACTGGTCTTTCTCATCTAAGAAATTATTCGATTCCATCACACTCAGAATGGTCTATATCACATATGGAATGATCCTCCTCATACTCAGAATGGTCTCTCCAACCCCTCCCTCCTGTGACAACTGGTTCCTCCCGACACGGAATAATCCACTGAATATAAGAATGGATTCCCCCATGCTTCCATGATTGAATCCTGTATCAGAAATGGTTATCCCACTAAGAATGGTCTGGCTCCCTCAAACAGATGGGGAAATATTTCCCTGCACTCCAAAGGGACCGTCCTCCCACCACCGCACACCGACCCTCTAGCTAATGAACTTTTCCTTGCTCTACCCACACTCACAATTAGCTCTCTCTGCTGTAAGGAAGGACCCGGCACCCTCAGAATGTTCTTTCTCCACCATATAACGATGAGCCTTCCCACCCGAACGTACAATGATATCTACCTCCATTAGGAAGGGAGCCCCCAGAATGATCTTCTCTGCCCATAACGAAGGACATCCCCATCCTCAAAATGGACCCTCTCTAGTCATATAAGGAAGGACTCGCCCCACCCTCAGAATAGTCTCTGTCCCTTTATAAGGAAGGAACCACCACCCTGAGAATAGTCTCTCCCATCAACGAAGAACTCCCACACCCGCAGAATGGTCTCTTCCACACGGAAGGACCCCACACATTCAGAATGGTTTCGGTGGCCTTAGCGTCCCCAAAAAGAAATACCCTCCACACTGACAATGGTCTCTACTCTCCATATGCGAAGGGATCCCACAATCAACCTCACAAGGTTCTCTTCTCCGCCCCCAACGCACTCACAAGGTGCACGCGCCCGCGCGCGCGCGCACACACACACACACACACACACACACACACACACGTCGGACCACACGGGATGCTCCCTCTCACTTTAGTAAGGAACATTCCCGACTCGTAACAATCGCGACCTTCGCCTCCACGCGACTGCTCGGCCGCAGACTGTCTCACCGGCACTCGCGGTCCCCGGCTCCAATGCACCCGTGGAAACCGCCCCTGGCCCAGCCGCTGCGGTGGAACCACCAGCCCCAACCGCTGCCATGTTGGCATCTGCCCGGTCCGTCCCCTCGGCAACAGTAGGCTACTTCCGTGTTCGTCACTTCCGCTTCCGGGCCACCTGCGTGCAGGTTGGGTAAGAGCCGGGATAGTCAGGGTGGTGGCTTTCCTCGTCCGCTCCTAAAAGCTCAATGTAAGAGTAGCCCCAGGACTTCCAAATTCTGTCGGATCGGGATGCAGGGTACACGGCCGGCTCGGCCTACCCACCGTCCCTACTCAGCTTCACCGGCCCATTCCTGTCACTAGACCCGCCTTGTCTTGGCGTTCGCTTCACTCGTCGCACTTTCCAGGTCACCCCGCAATCCCGTCTCCTAGTGTGAGTCACCCCTTTCATCTCGGCCTTTTATTGGCAGATTCTCTAGAAGGCACCGCCCTTTCCGCATCAGAAACTCCCAGGTGCTTCCTGGTTGGACTGAAGTTCCGCTCTCCCGTTCCCCAGCGAGGTCCCATCCGCCCTGTGGAGCACACGGGAATCTAGGGACGAAGACACTTTGAGCTGGCCGGGGCGGGTGAGGGCATACTGGCTGAAGCAACAGGCGAGTCAGGCATGTGAACCAGCAGATAAAAGCAGAGCAGGTGAGGATAAACAAGTGAAAATGCAAAGGAAAGTTGACGCAGATAAGGGAAGACAAGTGAGTCACCACTGAGGATGGCAAAGTAGACAGGTGAAAGGCTCACAGGTTAGCTAGCATTTGGAAACAGGGCAGGAGACCGGGTCGGGGGCGATGGCTTAAGTCTATAATCCCAGCACTTTGGGAGGCCGTCTGGCAGATCACCTGAGCTCAGGAGTTCCAGCCTATGGCGAAACCCTTTCTCTAACTAAAAAAAAAATTATCAGGCGTAGTGGTGTGCACCTGTACCCAGCTACTTGGGATGCTGAGGCAGGAGAATCGCTTGAATCCCATCTCAAATTTTAAAAAATTAAAAGCAGAGCAAGAGGGGACAGCTGAGGTTAGAACAAGGGAAATCAAGATGGAATAGGGCAGGCCAGGTAATCAAGTGTTAAGTAGAAATGGGAAGGGTGGGTATGTAAGGGTAAAGATGGGGGAGAGAGTAAAGATAAGAGTAAAACTGGTGACTGCACTCTGCACATCAGTAGACAAGAGCTACAAGATTACAGTCAACACCCAACTCCAGCACTGCCCTCACCAGTATCCTGATAGGGCTTTTCTTCTCCAACAGGGAAAGGGCTTCTTCCCTCCCCAGGGGTGGCAGGGAAGGTAGCTGCCCAGGCTGGAGTGCTGTGGTATGATACTGGCTCACTGCAGCCTCTGCCTCCTGAGCAGCTGGGACTACAGGGGTGCACCAACCACGCTCTACTAATTTTTGTATTTTTAGTAGAGACAGGGTTTCATCATGTTGGCCAGGAGAGTCTTGATATTCTGACCTCGTGATCCACCATACCCAGCTGGGGAGGTAGTTTTTTCTGCTACTGAGATGGCCATCTTGATTGGGGATATGCCCTAAACACTTTCAATATGCACAGTATCTCCAACAGAGAGCCCTTCTGCATGTACTGGACACGGCATAAGATCATGGACAGGGGAAATCAAGTTTTTGTGTGTGTGGTGTAGCTTCCAGAATCCTTCAAGCTCTTTAGGATGGCAAGACAAGACTGTGGCTTCATGAGGACAAAGCAGACAGTCGGTCTCAGCACACAGTAGATGCTCCATAAAAGCCTCACCCCTACAAATGGCCAGCCGCTTCTGATTCTATTACTTTTATTAAATAGTGGGTTTCCACACATGGCTTTTTAAATAATCCAGGCAGGGGGAGAAGAGAGGAGGGCACACTTGGAACTCCCCTCCCCACAATAGTGATTATTTACATTTTAGCAATTGGACAATCCCGGCTCAGGAGAAGGTTGCAAGAAATCTGCTAAAGTTGGAGGGGTTGCCCCAGGAGAACCAACAGCAAGCCTTATTTCCCCTAGCCCATCCCCCAAAAAACCATCCATCCCATCCTAGTGTCTGGTGGGGTCTGGTGGTGTCCATATCCCATTCCTTCCCAAATTCGTAAGTAAGGTTCTTCTCACCAGAATAAGAGCACTTTGGATAACAGAGTAGGATCCCCTCACCAAAAAAAAAAAAAAAAAAAAAAAAAAAAAAAAAAAAAAAAAAAAGCCTTGGAGTAACAGGGGATTACCTACCCCAGAATAAGGAATCCTGGGCTGAGGCAGGTAAGCAGCTTGACCCAATATGGGACCCTAGGCCAGGGGAAAGGGTCCCTTTGCTAAAATAAAAGCTACTGGGGTATTGGAAGGAAAGCACCCTTGCCCAAGTAAGAGCATATGAAGGAAATTTGTGTGATGGTAGGAGGAGGTGCCAATGTAGGGGTGACACGTCATCAGAATGAGTCCCGGGGCTCAGAATGGGAACAACTTCACGCAAAATAAATGTCGTTTAGCAAAACTGGAAACAAGAAGTTCCCCCTCCAGAATCAGGGACCACAGGTTCTGGGAAGAAAACTTCTTTGTAGGATTGGGAAGGGAACTGGGCAGACTTGGCTTATGTCTTCTAACCCCTGATCCTCAATCCCTTACCTTAGTAATACTGGACTTTAATGACCGGTAATGACCTGTAAAACCAAGTCAACAAATGTCCATCTATCCCTGTGACATGGCCATGGGATGGCTCTTCCCACCATTGGGGGCCAGGCCAGGCTTAGGGTAGCAAGGACCAGGCCAAAGGGGTGGGCCCTCCTTTTGGGGGGTTGAGGGGTGCATCCTCGGGTGGTGTTTGCATCCAGGGGTCCAGCAGGATCTCCTCCAGTGAGGGTCGGGAAGAAGGTTTGGGGGCCAGGCACCGGCGGATTAGGGCACAGCAGTCTGTGGGCCAAGAAGCACAGGGAAGATTAACAGTCAGTAGCAGGTCCCGGTCTCTGAGAGGGATGGTCTTGTGGGCCGGGATTAGTGAGGCCTCACCTGGGGAGACATGGGCAGGGAAGTGAAGCTCAGCTTCCAGAATTTCCTGGTCCCTCTCGAAGGGAATGTCCCCACACACCATGTCATAGAGGAGGATACCAAGTGACCAGACAGTGGCTGGGAGTGCATGGTACTGCTGTCGAGAGATCCACTCTGGGGGGCTGTACACCCTTGTCCCTGCACACAAGCCAGGAGTTAGACCACTCTCTCTCATGATGCCCTTCTCCAATCCCAAACTCCCCAGGACAGATGGCCCCATTACCACAATTAAGAGCACTCAATACAAAAAGCAGAGTCCCCTCACTACATAAAGAACAGCTAAAATAGCAGAGTCCCCTCAACAGAATAAGAGCACTGAAAAGTCACAGGATCCCCTTACCAGAGAAAAGAATATTCAGGATAGTAAAAGGATCCCCTTGCCAGAGTTAAGAATCCAGAACAAAGTTAGGGCACCATTAGAAGATGGACTTTATCAGAGGGCAAGGCTGAGAATCCCCAGTATTAGAAATTGATCATCTATCTTATATAGATGCAGTATGGGTCAAGGATTACAGGACACCCCACCACTGGAGGCCAAAAGTCACAAGGCCATCAAGTAAAAACAATCCCTCCGGTGAGATTTAGAGAAGCCTTACCATCAAAGTCAGTGTAGGGTTCATCGTGAAGCAGGGCACCAGAACCAAAATCAATGAGTTTGGCACAGCCACGGCGTAGGTCTATCAGGATGTTCTCATCCTTGATGTCACGATGGACAACTCCACGGGCATGGCAGTGCTGGATGGCTGCCACTACTTGGCCAAAGAAGCAGCGGCTTGGGCCTTCACCCAGCGGGCCCTTCTCTGTGATATAGTCAAAGAGATCCTGGGCGGGCAAAGGCCGCTCGAGGACCAGCATGAAGCCCTCTTGTGTCTCAAACCAGTCAAGCAGGCGGATCACGCCAGGGTGCCCACCACCTGCACCCACTTTCCATAGCAGTGCCACTTCGAGTGGGCATGAGACTGAGTCTGACTGGGGGCACAGGTTGGGTGGGAGGCAGGGAGAGAAAAAAGACAGATGTCAGGCCAACAGCTCTGAGGCTGACTTTTTTCCTAAGGTCAAATCATGGCCTCTTGTTCTCCTGACAGTGTGTCCTTGAGCAATTCACTTCCCTTCGTGGACTTCAGTCTCCCTAAAGACAGAAGCTCACACAGGGATTGGGAGGGTGAATCCAGCAAAGAGCCTGCACACATCTTGCATGTACTTGATCAATACATCTGAATAAATGAAAGTAGCTGGGCGCGGTGGCTCACGCCTGTAATCCCAGCACTTTGGGAGGCCGAGGCGGGTGGATCATGAGGTCAAGAGATTGAGACCATCCTGGCTAACATGGTAAAACCCCATCTCTACTAATACAAAAGTTAGCCGGGTGTGGTGGCAGGTGCCTGTAGTCCCAGCTACTCAGGAGGCTGAGGCAGAGGTTGCAGTGAGCCGAGATTGCGCCACTGCACTCCAGCCTGGTGACAGAGCAAGACTCCGTCTCAAGAAAAAAAAAAGAAAAAAAGAAGGTTAGTTCAGCCAGGCACAGTGGTTCATGCCTATAATCCCAGCACTTTGGGAGGCTGATGCAGGTGGATCGCTTGAGCCCACGAGTTCAAGATCAGTCTGGGCAAAAGGGCAAGACCCCATCTCTACACAAACACAAAAATTTGCCAGGCTTGGTGGCATGCACCTGTCCCAGCTACTTGGGAGACTGAGGTAGGAGGATCACTTGAGCCCAGAAAGCAAAAGTTGCAGTAAGCCAAGATCGCACCACTATGCTCCAGTCTGGGTAACAGAGAAAGACTGTCTCAAAACGAACCAAAACAACAACAAACTGGTTATTAACAAAAGGCCTTCAGCAGAAGCAGCACCATTATGTAGTGTTTTATGTTTTGTTCCCGGACATATCACAGATTAGAATAGTACGTCACACAGTAGGTGCTCAATAAATATTAAACAGATGAAAGAACTTGATAGCATAGACTCTGACAAGCAGTTAGCACTCAATAAACAGTTATTGTGTAATGGTTTGTTTTGTTCACAGAGGGACGTATCTGAAGCACTCCAACAGTGCCTGCTAACAAAATAGGGCTGAATATTTTGTTAAACAGGTAAAAACAATTAGTAAAAAAGGACCTAGCACAAAATGAGCTCTCAATAACTATTATGTAATAATTTGCTGAGTGTCTAGAATTGTCTGTCATACAGTAGGTGGTCAATATACCTTTGTTAAACAGCCGAGTGATTAATTGCAAAGGACTTAGCACAAAAGGACTTAGTGTTGTTTTGTCAGCATCATCAAGCACCTAGAACCAGTCAATAAAAAGCATAAAAGCAGCAGGGTGCGGTGGCTCACACTTGTAATCCCACCACTTTGGGAGGCCGAGGCAGGCAGATCACCTGGGGTCAGCAGTTCGAGACCAGCCTGGCCAGCATAGTGAAACCCTGTCTCTATTAAAAATACAAACATTAGTCGGGCGTGGTTGTGCGCTCCTATAGTCCCAGCTACTCGGGAGGCTGAGGGAGGAGAATCGCTTGAACCCGGGAGACGGAGGTTGCAGTGAGCCGAGATCGCGCCACCGCACTCTAGCCTTTAAGACAGAGGGAGACTCTGCCTCAAAATGAAAAAAAAGAAGGTATAAATGCTACTGGCCACAAAATCCGCTCCCCAGCGCTGAGCAGGCACACTTCGAGCAGCAACCTTCTGGGCTGAAGTAGAGCCCTCTCCTGGCCAGCCTGCTGACTTGCACAGCAGCAGACTTTCTCACAGAGATGCAAAAATTCTGATATTGCGCAGGCGCATCGTCTCCTGGGTCCCACGGACTGCGCAGGCGCAGTTTCCCCTAGAGTCCGCCAGGGGGCGCTCCCAACTGTACAACTCGCCCAGACCCGCCCTGATGTCCGTTAGCGCTACAATGGCCGGAGAGAAGCCGCCATCACCATGGCAACCAGTGACCTCTGCCCCTCGTTCCCCACCAGCATGCTCTGCGGGCAGCCCTCCAGCAGCGTTTGGAGGGAGGATGAAAAAGGATTGTTGTAGGGAAGACTCCAGGGCTCTAGGGGAATTGGGGTGAATCAGAACTGTATGTCACCCCAAGGTAGTAAACATGGGCTGGTAGGAGTGTTCTTACTGTTACAGGGCCCAGGGAGTCATACATCCCCTGGAAAAGCAAGGGGGTCAATCAATTCATCATCAATGATGGATAGGTCAGGAAGGGCTCCAAAAGTACTCACCAAGGGGGACCAGGCCAGCACACGATTCCGGGGAATCACTTTGATGGCCACCTGGAGAAGAGGGCCGTGATAAGGAGGCCAGCAGGTGATCCCCAGGCCCCTCCCAGTCTAGACCTGCCCACCTCCAGTGCTCCTCCATCCACCAGCACTCTAATCGTTCTGGTCCCCAACCACACCACCCCACACAACCCATACCAGGGCGTCTCCCCTGCCCTCCAAGTCCCCGGAACCAAGTTCATCTCTCCCACCCTCCTCAGCCCTGGGCTCTCCGTTCTCAGGCATCAGTACTCATCACTCCAAGTCCTGAGTTCTAGATTTCCTGATACCCCAGGCCCACAATCTTCCTATTTAGCTCTACGATACCCCAACTCTGTACCAGAGTCCTGGTCCGCATGACTTCACACTGGACATCTACCTCCAAAAATCCCATAAATCTCACATCTAGGTTCCCGCTTTCCCACACATACACAGCCTGGACCCTGGGGGTCGAGGACTTCCAGAAATCCTCGCCTTGAAGCCCCCTACCCTCCACACACAACCCCCTAGACCGACACACACACAAACATACAGACACACACCCGGTCCTCTACACACACTGCAGGCTCACTCCTCGGACGGACGGACGGAAACACACACACACACACACACACACACTCTCTCTCTCTCTCTCTCTCTCTCTCTTGGTCCTCTACACACTCTGCAGGCTTACTCCGTCAACCAGCATTCCATGCCCAGGACCCCCGACCCCGACACACGCACCTGACCCTCCCAAGACCCTCGTGATGGATACCTGGAGTCGATCTGTGACGCGGTGTCCTGCGAAGACGGTGCCAAAGCCCCCCTTACCCAGGAGGGGGCCGAGTCGGTACTCGGCCTCGAACGCTTCCCGATCCTTGCCTCCTACGCAGGCGGAGGCAAGGAAGTCAGGGTGGCGGCGTGCTGAGCCCAGCCACGACTCCCTCCCCACTGCTCTGCAACCCATCATTCCAACCCACCCCGTCTGGTTGCAGTAGGGGAGGATGCGCTCACCTGGCGGCGGCGTGGGGGTCACGGGGGGCGCGGGAGGCCCCTGCAGAGGCTTGGTCAACATGGAGGATGCACCGCGCAGAGTGAGCCCGCTGAACCCGCTAAGCCCGCAGGGCGTGGACGCCCGGGGCAGCGCAGCTGGGGAGCCAGGGCTGGGGGGCGCCAGGGTGGAAGACAGAGAAACTGGTGGCCCGGAAGCGCCCGCAGACGGCGCAGCGTTAAGATTCGCCGCGCGCGCCAGCCCCAAAGCTACTGAGCCGGGGCACGCGCCTCCCGGGAGAGTCACCCTGGGCGACAGCCCCGCCCACCTGGCTTTGATCAATCCGGACGCGGCACCTGCTGTACCACAGCCAATCGGAGCCAGTTCTTATTTGCATACCACCCTCTTCGTTTCAAATGCCCCCATATGCAAATACGCGCTTGGTTCTTCCGAGGAGGCGGGGCTTGCATGTAAATAAGGGGGCTCGAGGTGGGGCTCACACCAAGAGGAAACAGGTTCTGGGAATCCTTTTGCAGCAACCGCGCTTGTTTTGGTTGTTGCGCGGGGTTGTTGTTGGTAGTTGTGGTGATGTGTGTGTGTATTTACACTTAAAAAATAACTGCGCAGTATCCTTTCCTGGGACGTTGGTTTGCCGCCGCTGCCTCGAAATTAGCACAGAGATAGCGCCAGCCGGGCTTCTAAGAATTCGAGCCTGTGGCTATCCAGGACCCCGTCTCGAAAGCTGCTTGTCATCCTTCACCAAAGTCCTCCAGGAGACTGGTGGCCTTCACTGGAAGGCTGAAACCAGGGCCCTAGAAAAATCTGGTAGCCAGGGAGGGGGCACCCCCGCCATCACCGCCACGGGTGTGCATTGGTCAAAGGTAACATTTCCCATGGCTTAAGGCTGCTGTCTGTGGAGTGTTGAATGGAGTTTTTAACCCAGAGCCCTGAGCCCAGTCAGCAGGTCTAGAATCTAGAACAGCAGGGGGTGGTTCTTGGGGGATGGGGGTGAGCCCAGGGTGGTGGTGGCATTGGGCTGCACTTGGAGTTGAGAGGCAAGGACTGAGAGACATGATAGAGGCTGCTAGAGAAGTGGCAACTCTAGTATACAAATTTGTGAAAAACAGCCAGAGAAGGCACTACACCTCAGAAAGAAAAAGGCACTCCCAAGACACATGAACGCCATGATACACACAAACGCATACTGTCACATTCACGGAAACGACCTAAATACACATGCAGCCATGCACTATCATACAGAGACTGACAAACACTTTCAGGCGCAGGCACGCTGTTAGAAAAATAGTTACGTCCCAGAATGACACCCAGAGACACAGTTACAGAAAGGCACTCATGCAGACCTACATTGGCCATGTGATGACACAGAAATGTCCCCTCAAACACACTGACAGAACTTGTCACAAACACACTGGCACCATAAGACATGCACTGTCACAGCAAGACTTGTAGTGTCCCAGAAATGAGACACAGAGTCTGTCACAGGAAGATACACAGATGCTCCCGAGACACACGTGCACTGCTCTGAAGGCATACATGTACTGATGTGACAGAGCCACATTTTGTGGCAGTGTCACAAAAACAGGCATGGATAGACCTGTTCAGACATAGACACATACACCATCACATGTGCAGCTTATCAATGGAACAGACTGTCCAGAAATAGCTATCCAGAATCTGTGGCAGGAACACAAACGGACATCCACCCCATCAGACAGAAACAACAGATGCACTGTCACAGACAGACCCACGCAGGCATGCACACATCTTGGATTTAGACACAAACTCTGAGTCCCACACTCAGTCACCATCTGACACACCTGGAAACAAGCCCTCATCACACACACAACTGGAGACACTCGGTGAACTGCACATGAAGACTTGGACTCGCCACAGTCACACACACAGACAACACCGAAAAAGCATACATGTACTCTCCTTTGTTCACCCAACATTATTAGGGGTTTACTATAAGCCTGCCAAGCCTTGGTGGGGATGCTGATATTAGAGATGCACAAATAAGTCAGGCATCAAACCTGTGCCATGAAGTTTAACTGTAGTAGTTACTGGGGAAATTTTTAGATAGAAGTGAGAATGTCCTGGCGGGCGTGGTGGCTCATGCCTGTAATCCCAGCACTTTGGGAGGCTGAGGTGGGTGAAACACCTGAGATCAGGAGTTCGAGACTAGCCTGGCCAACATGGTGAAACCCCATGTCTACTAAAAATACAAAAAAAATAGCTTGAACCTGGGAGGCGGAAGTTGCAGTGAGCCAAGATCCACCACACCACCGCACTCCAGCCTGGCAACACACACTCAACAAACAGAATGTGAATGGGCTTCTCAGCAGGTGACCCACTACCTGTCTTGAAAGACAAAGGTTGGTGGCTCAGGACAGGGGAGGGCAAATTGCAGGCAAAGGCCAAGAAAACTGGACAAAGCAGCAAGAGATTGGCAGGGGCCAAATGGTACAGAAACTTCTACAAAAATAACACATTTGTGCCCTCTGAATGTGCCAGGCACTGTGCCCAGTAGTACATTACTTCCTTTGACCATGCCTATTCCCTCTCTATGATCACAAGCAGACAGCATGAGGGAGTAGTTATCACTTTTTTTTTTTTTGAGACAGAGTCTCTGTCACCCAGGCTGGAGTGCAATGGTGCAATCTCGGCTCACTGCAAACTCCACCCAACAAGTTCAAGTGATTCTCATGCCTCAGCCTCCCATGTGGGTGGGATTACATGTGGGCACAACCACACCTTGCTAATTTTTGTATTTTTAGTAGAGATGGGCTTCTCCACGTTGGCCAGGCTAGTCTCAAACTCTTAATCTCAGGTGATTCACCCACCTCAGCCTCCCAAAGTGCTGGGATTACAGGTGTGAGTCACTGTGCCCAGCCTAATCACCTCTCTTGTACAGATGAGACACTTGAAACTCAAGAGAAACTATGAATTGACCAAGGCCACACAGCTAGAAAATACCAGGCAAGGTTTCAAAGCAACTCTTACAACAAATAGATGCTTGGCCATTGGGTTCCAGAGATACTCTGCAGCCAGCCACTCAGCTAGCCATGCCCTCAACTGCAGAACCAGACATACACCCTGCCAGAGGGTCTCCATAAAAGATGCTTGAGAAAACCTAGAGGCCAGCCAGCCTTCTCTACCTTGGATCTACCCCTAGGGAGGGCAGGGAAAGAGGTGTCAGAGGACTAGCGGACAGGAACGAAGAGGGATTTAGCCATCCTTCACCTTCTAGAACCCACTAGGGGAGGCCCTTGTTTACTACCACTAAACTCATGTTGCCGCAAATGATCAGTTGTGCTTTTCCAGGGCTTTTCTTCATCAGATCATGGGAAGGAAAGAGTAACATTCATGGCGAGGCAGGCGGAGAAGCTGGAATTCAGGCAGGAAGTTCAAGCTCACAGTCCTCTGCTACCATCACATCCCAGGAAATACGATAGGCAGGGGTGGGGTCAGCAGGCAAAGATGCAGCTTTTCCAGTGGTAATTAGAAGGACGTTTAATAAGCAGCAAATCAAATACAAACTCCAGGACCCCAGACAGACCCTACTGGAGAGGATTCACACCTCTGAGGTCAAGCCAAGGTCCGTGCCATTCCCTCCTCTGCCCAGAAGCCCGACCAACCACTGTCCCAAACAGAACAGAGCCGCTCAGGGAAACTGACATTTGGTTTTATTGTGCCAAGGACATTACAGATGGCGGATCTTGTCAACACCTGCAGGGCACGGGTGCCCCATCTGCCAAGGCTGCTCCCACACTGGCTACACTCAAATCCTGGGTGGCAGCCGTGATCCCCAAAGATGTCCCCCACCCCAAGATTCCAAAGAGGCTAGTGGTGGTGGAAGCAAAAGGAATGCAGCAAGGTCAGGGTTTCATTGTCCAAGCTGGCCTGACACCTGCTGCCCTGCGCAGTGCACACCCTTGGCCCTGGGCCCGCCTCCATGCAGCTGGAGGCTAGAAGACAGCAACCCACATCTTTTCGCCCCCCCTCCATGCCCCATGACCTGCCTGGCCAGAAAGATGCCACCTTCACAGACCCAGTGCTGTCATCTATATCATTCTTGATTAGTTGATTTCATAAGATAAAAGTACATTTTCATAAAGAAAAAATTCAAGATTGAAGGCTCAGACATTCTTGGGGTACTGGAAAGGGAAATTTCCCACTTCTTCCTCCCACCTCCCTGGCATCAGTGTGGGGGGGGGGGCAGCAACTTTTTCTCATCTTGGAAGGAATGAGGGGCAGGGAGACTTTCCTCTGTCTGAATGTCTCTCTCCTCTGGGGCTGCCTGGCTGCCAGTTGGTCTGTCTCTGTGTACCTCTTGTCTATCTTCGGCACCCTTGCCCGAGTCCCCTGTGGAATGCAGGGATGGTACTATGCAGGGTGGGGGGCAACAGGGCACGTCAGCTGGCAGAGAGACAGGTGATAGTGGCAGCAGCAATGAGAGGGAGCGCAGGGGTGGGTTAGCCAGAGGGAAGTGAGGAGGAGGGAAAAGAGGGGAGAGCAGGAAGAACAGAAGGAGGCAAGAGGGAAGAAGCCAAAGAAGGTTGAGGCGGCACCAGAGGGCAGGAGTGCTGGGGTTGAGAGATGGTGTCCAATCCCTGGGTCTCCATCAACTCTTGTCTGGGGGCGGGTCTCTGTGCACTTTGTTTTTCTTCATACTGTCTAGGTATTCCTGTTGGGACACTGCCAGCACCGATGCTAGGATGTCATCATCATCCCAGTCATTCAGACCTGCTGGGCAAGAGGAAGAGAAAAAGGATGATGGAGTGCTCTCAGCCTGCCTTCTCACCCTGTGCCAGTATTTGGGGCTCTGGAGAAATCCCATAGGACCCTTCTCACTCCTTTCTTAAAACAGAAGGATCTGCTAGGCCTGTGAAACCCCACTTAGATCCCAGGCCCCTTCTGGGGAAAATTCCTTGGGCCTGAAAAATCCCCTCCAGTACCTCTCTCTTCTTTTCTCGGGGAGATTGCCGGAGGCTCCAGATACCCCCTCTCAGGACTTGCCGCTTCTTCTAGTCTCTCCCAGCTCCTAGTAGCCTTCATCCCCCCACACAAAGGAGGCTTACCAAAGGCAGAGGGGGACATCTGCTGAATGAGGGCCCGGCACTCCAAAGCAGGGTAGAGGGACACAAGGGGGGAAGTTGCCCGGTCGGCCCCTGCCGAGAACTGACTGCTTGTACCTGAAGCAGACAGACAGTCAAAGGTAGGGACCCAGGATCCAGGAACCAGGACCCAGGACCCAGGCAGTGCCTCCTAACCCCCAGCACATTCCCTGTGAGCAAGTCACTGACCTGGTGCACAGGGTGAAGGAGGTTTGGCAAGAGCTAAGACAGTGCCTGGGGAAGGGGGCTTGATGCCCAGCTCAGCATGCAGCTCAGGATGCTCAGGTGATGAGGCTGAACTCCGCTG